CCGAGCTCCGGGATCGGCGCAGCTCCGTCACCGGCTCGGTCCCGGCTCATTTTCATCACTATTATTATTATTTTGAATTTTGAATTTTGCCTGCAGCCGGCGCGGGGCCGATCCCTGCCCGCTGCGGTTAATTGCCTGACCTCACCCTTTCCTTGTGGGACTGGGGGGGTTCGCTGCCGAAATCCTGATCGGAATTTTCTCTGTGCTTTCCCTCGGCAGGCGTCAGGACGGAGCAGGACCTGTACGTTCGGCTAATAGACTCCATGACCAAACAGGTGAGAAAGTTTTGCGCTTTCCTGGTCACGCGAGTTCCCAACTTTGTGCTGGGGAGGGTGGGGGGCGAGCGAACCGGAGCGCGGCCACTTCTCATTGAGCTGAGCGGGTAAATCAGGGAGCTGCCGACCGAGATCCCGGTTACCGGAGGATATTTGGGAAACAGAAAACGGTGTGTTGTTGCTTTGCGAGGCAGCGTTGAGATCATTCGGTGGTGTGTGTGGCATGGAGGACCACGTCATGGGAACAGATGTTTGATATAATTAATTTAGCGAGGGAGAAAGGAAAGGGGAAAAAAAAATCCCACCGAGTTACCCAGATTGATTTTAAAATGCGCTTTTCCCTCTCTGTAACTTTTTTTTTTTTGGCGATATTTTTTCCTCAGTGAGGAAAGGGCAGCCCCTTCCCCACACTGCGAAGCTGGCAGGGATTAGTCCTTTTTCTTTTATACCGCGACCATCCAGTAACGCGAGACGTTTATTTGGATTTAAAAGTTAAATGTGCTGAGGTGAAAAGTCATCTTGTTCTCCTCTAGTCCATATTCACCTCTCAGCCCCCCATCTCCATAATTCAAACTCCATGCTCCAGGGGTCACCCAAACCCGTCCATTTCCCTGAAATCAGCTTCTGTTTCTTCCTCAAACCTCTGTCATACCTTGTAAATAACATAATTACAAGCAGTTCCTTATTAAATTATTTAACCTGTCTTGGTCAACTTTTCCGATGATAACTACGTGTTATCAGCGTTGCACCAGAGCAATTATAGACACAGAGCTTGGGATTTAATCAACTTTATTTCTTTTTTCATTATTTTTAATTTTTTTTT